GAAAGGAGCTGGGAGGCAGGGATTGCTTTTTATGGGGTTTTGGAGTCCAGGAACTCTCCCTTGTAGAACTGACCTCTGCTCATTTGCTCTCATTGTTCGTCTGTATCACTCAAAAACTATTTGCAGTTTTTGCTCTTTTTTTCCCCCCTATTTTTTTCTCTTACTTTATAAATAATTTATATAAATTTATATAATTTTATACAATTTTATAATCTAAACCCATTTTTTTATGCCACTACAGACATCTTATGATTTCAGTCTGCTTTTTTTTTTTTAGTTTCTTATAATTTCTCACATGAAAACAAAGCGTAAAACCACCCAGCCAGCATCTTGCCCTGAGTGCAAACACTGCCCATTTTTCTCTCTTAAGGTAGGTTGTTCATCACAGGCTCAGTTAAACCCAACCCCAAAGCTCCAGGTTTGGGCCAGAAGGTTGTAGGTGTTCACACTGGATGGACATTGCATCAAACCACCCAATTTGGCCACCCCAGGTTTCCTCATCTCTCGGATGAGGAAATACGAACTTTATTGTTGAAGTGTTTTAAGTCCTGCTCACATTAAAGCGTTGTTACATTAAAGGTGGGTGCTGTTAGTCTGGGGTCTGTGAAGGTCTGAGTCTCATTAATAAAAGATGTAAGGGAGGCTTAACTGCATCTGCAGCTGCTCAGCGTCCCTCTGATCTGAAAATCATGGAATGCTTTGGGTTGGAAGGACACCTTCCACTAGCCCAGGTTGCTCCAACCTGACCTTGGACATTCCCAGGGATCCAGGGGCAGCCACAGCTTCTCTGGGCAAGCTGTCCCAAAGATCTTAAAGGATAATCTCAAGGAACACCGGGGTCACTCCCGGCCGGGGCGTTGCTGATGCCGTGACACCCCCACGGACACGACCGCGCCCGCACCTTTCGGCCTTGCTTTCCTCAAGCTCCAAACTCTGCTGGCCCAGATCAGAGCTTGGCCAGGGGACAGCCCTGTCCACATCAGGAGCTCTTTGTCACCACGTCCCTCGAGCTTCCCACGGCAGGAGCAGCCCCCTGGCAGCGGAGGCGGCTCAGGGTGGACAGCCGGCCCTTTGTTCGCGCGCTCGCCCCGAGCGCGGGGCAGGGGGGACTCAATAAACGCTCTCTGTTTGCTCTGTGTGCGTGGGCAGGGATCGGATCCACCGGGCTGGAGGCTCAGGCAGATCACCCAGGTAAAATAACCCTGCTTGCCCTTTCTGGTTTGGCAGGAGGACAAGCCGGGAGGGGAGGGAGCTGGGCTGGAGGGCCCGGTGGTGGCTCCAGGACAGCAGCGAGGGCAGGTGGGCACAGCCTTCACGTGGGGCTGAGGGAGGACGAGGGTGGGCACAACTCCAGGATGGTTTGGTTGGAAGGGACCTTAAAGGACTGTGTAATTCCACCCCTGCATCTTCCTCCAGCCCCATCCAAGCTGGGCTGGCACACAGAGAGGAGGGTCATGGAGGCCTGAGGGTGGATCCACCCTCTGTCGTGAAGGCTTCAAAATGATAGATAGACCTTCAGATGGGATATTGGGAAGGGATTCTTGGCTGTGAGGGAGGGGGTGAGGCCCTGGCACAGGTTGCCCAGAGAAGCTGTGGATGGCAGCCAGCAGAGGATTGTGCTCAGGACCACGTCGGAACACGCAGAATTCCCCTTCCCTCGGGAGAAAGGAGCCAGGGCCTCACGTAGTGCTGGGATAAACAATACCACGAGCAACACTTTAAAAAAAAAAAATAAAATCAATAAAAGGGCCCTGAGACCACAGGGCTGAATTCACAATGATCTGCTTTGTCCCCTTTGGATGGAGAACATTAAACAGCTCTACGTGCGCACACGGTTACACAACACATGGCACGGCCCGAAATTGGGGCTGCAGGTGTTTTGTGAGGAGCATTAACCTTCCAAAAAAAAAAAATCACTTTAATCAACTTAAGGACTCACAAGGCGTTCATGGTTCTTGAGAAATCCATGGAAAGGTCCTGTGCCTTCGATTAACTCCCTCCAGCCTGCATGGATTGCTGCTGCATGTGCTCCATCACACCGGGTGGATTAATTAAGGATAATTAAGCAAAATGCCGACAACAAAGAGGGGGAGAGGAGGAAGATGAAGTAACTGATTTTTGCTCCCGCATTTCAAAGAAAAAGGAAGGAAAGGAGGAAGCCACAGGCTTTGTAACACCATATTTGTCTATGATCTCTGAGGCAAAAAGTGCTGCAGAGATGCAGAATGTTTGTAATGAGGTTTCATTAGTCAGACTCGGGTGACAGTCTGTAACCTGATTAAAGACCACACCAAAAATAACTCAGCTGGTGCTCACTGAGTGACTTTCAATCACCTTTTGGGGCAAAACATTTTACTTTGTATTTACTTTCCATTCAAGCCTGGCAGTCCAAAGGCAGCCAAGTGCTGCAGATAAGCAGAGGAGCAGGCAACTCACAGCTAGAAGGGAAATAACTTTTAAGCCATTGGCTCATATCCTTCAACAGAACCCCAGAAAGGAACATATTGAAGACTGTTAGTTGAGGAAAAGAAGGATAATTCGCTTTGGGAACGTGTGAGGCAAGCACAAGGAAAAGCTTTATATAAAGAGGAGGTTTGCAGGAAGAATTGAGATTATCCAAGAGCCGATCCAAGGGCCCTGGAAGGCAATAGAAAAGTCTTCTGTTGACTCCAATGGGTTTTGGATGACTGGAAGTGGAGGGGAAGGGATGGGGCTGGCAGGGAGAGGCAGGTTGTGGGAAGGCTGGAATGCAGCTGTGAATAGGTGGAGGAAGCAAAGGGGGAGCGAAGGAACACAGAGGCAAAGCCGCGTGGGCTGGTTTGTGTTCCCAAGAAAAACAACCTGCAGGCTGGCTGGGGATGGAGGCTGGGAGAGGCAAATGGAGGAGAGCAGAAGGCAGGTGACCGTGGAGTGAAGCAACAGCCCCGTGGCTGGGCTGTGAAACACCACAGTCCTTCCCTGAACTCGCTCCCAGAGGAAGAGGATGTGGCCACGGAGCTGGGGCAGAGCTGCTGAGCTGTTTGCTGAGCCTGGCCTGGGATCAGGGGGGGCAGCAGGAGGGAATAAATGGAGTCACAGGACGGAATGAAATCATCTCTCTGACCTGCTCATCCCTGCAGGGCTTGCAGGGGTGTCCTTCATGTCCTGGCTGAGCATGGACCTACTGAAGTGCAAGGGAAGAGGCACCTACACTGGTAAATGCTCCCAAAAATCCCTGGCAGGTGCTTTAGTGCCTTTGCAAACCTGGTTCAGAGTGAACTTCAGGACAAGGCAGAGGCAGAGAAGGGATTGGAACCCTGTTTCTCCCTGAGCTCTGTCCAGTGCTTCACCTGCAACCATCACTTTACTTCTGATACTCAGTTTAATCTCACACAGGCAGGATTTGTGCAGACTCTCAGTGCAAGGGGGAATTTCACCCTTTTTCTGCTTCCTTCTTTTAATTAAGCTGAGAGCACTGGCTTGAAACCACCAATATTCCAGTTACTAAATGCTGAGACAAACTTGTGGTCCAATTGTACCCCCTGTGAGCGTGAAAACTGCTCACTTGGGCTTGGCACAATTGTTTGGGGGTTTCAAAAAGTTCAAAGCAGCTTTGCTGCCATCTGAGGCCTCCCAGACTCTCTGACCACCTCCAGGGGAAGAAGCTGCCATCAGATTATTACAGAGCCACTGAAGCAAGGGCAGGAACATCAAATGCTTCTCGAGTCACAAAAGGAAATTACATCCAATTCCCTTTCAAGTCTACCCAAGACCACATCACATCGCATTCCCTCCCTCCTGCCAGCTCTTTGTTGGGATGTTGTGTCTATTCACACAGTAACTCTCCCTCCTATCCTGCTCAAGAGCACAGTTTATTCAGAGCATTAGTTGAGGAGATTGTGGGGGGGTCAGCTCATAATTTTCAAGTGCGTCATGCAGAGAGAACGAGCTGAGATAAATGCTTGGAGAGCAGCCACTCGTTTGGAAAACCAGTTGCCCATAGTTATTTTTCTTAATTAAGGCAAAGATGCAGTCCAAGAATGCCCAGCTCATTTCCATCCATACATACCTGAGAGAGAAATAACTATTTAATAGCACTTATATTAGAAGTATGAACTTATGTTAGTTATGGCAGTAAAATTCCCCTGTGGATTTATATGGCTATATTTACATATTTATAAATGAACATAATAAATTAGTATACATAATACATACTGAATTTATTAATATATATGAATATTTACATATATAAATATATACAACAAATATATATATAAAATATACTGGACATATAAATATATATATTGCTTTGATATATTAATGTTAATTTATATACAGCACAGTTTTAGTTCCATGTACTCTGTAACAGTTATTTCAGCCTATAAAAAGTTCCACTTCTATAAAGCAGCTCTGTGTTGACACCTGTGTCCTTAAACAGCTTTATTACCACTTTATGACAGCTGACTAAGCCAACGGGCTCCTTTCTTAGAACAGATTTTTTTTGAATATTATTTGCCAGACATCACCTGATTGCCCACTGTTCTGCCTCCTTTATTCAGCCCTTATCACAGGAACCTCAAGCAAACATTACTAAGAGGGATTAAAGGGGCAGCAAAGGCTCTGCTCGGTGTTTGCACTGGGGGTATGATTCACGGGTGTGGATAAATTGGGAACTGCCGCCAACCGGAGCACGGCCCTGTGTTCCTTTTTCACCCTCAACCCCTCCAAAACCCCCCCATTCCTCGAGCCACCACTGCTTTTACTTCCCTTCAGTTGTAACCAGCTGAAATCAGGGCCACCCAAGCCACTCTGCAACCCAACCACTGCTCCAATTTCCGTATTTCCCCGGCCATGGACGCGATTTCCTCTCGCCCAGCGCTCACTTCGAGGCACCCGAACTCGAGGCCATCCATCCATATCCCGGCTCGTGGGGCACCAACCCACCGGCAGGAACTTCCACCTGCTGCAACACTCCGTGACTGGGGTGTTGTGCAACACCCTCAGCAAACACTTCCTCATCTAGGAAGGAGAATAAAGCTCAGCCCGTCGCTCCCTCTCATTCACAGCCCAGCCTGGGAACGCGACATTCCCGCGGCACCGACCCCTCCCCGGAGCGGCACAGCTGGCAGCATGAAAATACTCCTCCTTTCTGCTCTTTTCCTGCATTTTCTCCACCAAGGTACAGCGTTTTTTCGTGTTTGAATCCTTCCTCTGGGCAGAACTCTGTATGAATTTTTAATTATTAACAGGGAGATAATACGGAAGAGCGGGGATTGAAGCCGTTGGGAAATGGTGGGGCTGGAGTTGGGGATGTTTGGGGTTTTTTTTCTCTTTGTGTTCAAATTGATTCTCTCTAATTCTTTAGTCAGAGCTTTATTTACTTGTTTGCAAACTGGCCAGAAATTACCTAAAACCTCAGAACCTGGTGAGTTCTGTGAGCCACTTCAGAAAGTTCCTGCCCTGCAGGTGAGAGGCCAATTTACCCCCTTGCATCTTAATTTTGGGCCATAAAAGATTCCTTTTTGAATCCAATTAACAACATCACCCGAATTAAAACCTTGAACCCCCTGATTATTGCGTGGCACTTCAGGCTGTGGGTTTTCCTGTGCCTTCACCTGAGCAGACCCCACTTTTTGCCTCCCAATTGTTCCTTTCAATTCATATCAACAGGGAACAGATTTTTTTTTTAATTCAGAGCTTGGCAGGCACAGGCACAGACAGGTTTTAAACACATAATTAAACATGTAATTTATACTCAGGCAGGTATCTAAGTTTTGATTGTTTGCACAGAATACCTGGAGATGTGCACAGCATTTAAGGTGTTATATCTTTCTTTTCCTCGTTGCCAGTGGATTCCTCACTAATGATTTTTAGTTTAGGCACTTGGAAAAGTACATAATTCTTTTTTCCTTATTATATAGCACCAGGCCCAAGGAATTTCTTTCCTCCTTAAAGCTCCTGACTCCAGACAGTGCCTGAAGGCAGACCAAGACAATACACTGATTAAAAAACTCCCCTCTAAGAAACCATTTGTTCCAGGCCAAAACTAACAGAGTTTTCCTCGAAAAGCTGCTTGTATCAGACTGCAGGCAAGGGAAAAGTTTAGCCCTGAGACTTCATTTAAACCCCGCTCACACTTGAACTGTCTGGGCTAGAGTTGGACAAAGGGTGTGAATAGGGAGATAAAAAAACTGGAGGCCTAAAATATCACTGTGATTGCTACATAAGAACACACTTCGTGGTTGTGGAAAGACTTAAGCCTGAAAACCATGATTTTTTTTTTAAAAAATAAACCTAATTAGCTGCCTAAAATAAACTATGAAAGATCACTGTGAATTGCAGGAGTAAAGTTACACTTGGGATTTGCTCCGAGCACGTGCCCAGGGAGTTCCTGGGCTCTGGAACAGCTCAGCTGCTGTAGGGTCACTTCTCCACCTTCACACCACCAGCTTTATCAAGATAACTCCCAGTTTATTCAGCAAATTACTTTTGAAAAGGGTTTAGTCCAATAAACCGAGTGTAAAGAAGGAATCTGTTTGTTTGACTGGGACAATTTGCAGGGAGGATGTGCTCTGTTGTTCCAGACAAATTACAGGTGCCCCACTCCCAGGAAAACCTGGCCCTGGGGCAGGGAATGAAATGGGAGGTGTGTCCTCCCTTTGGTTTTCATGGGCTTTTGTTGGGTTTTTTGGGGGGTTAGGATTGTTTGGGGTTGTTTTTCTATTCAAATACAGGCTCTTGTGCTCTGAGGCCTCAAGAATTTCCCAGTTCACACGAAATGCCCTTTTGCAGGAGATTAAAGAGTTCAGGGCCATCTAAAACCTGCTGTTGCCTTGCCCCAGATTAACTTTGTCCAAGATTTTTTTGGGTTCAGAGCAGAAAACAAAAAGAAACACTTTTCCTCAGCTCTGTATCTCCCCCTAAAGTTCTCACAACCACTGCAGATGCCTCAAAGACCACTAAAAAGTGTTATGGGAGCTAAGGAACCACCTGGATTCCTTACCACCTTCAAAATTGAGTGCTCTCTCCCTTTATTTTACCTGGCTTTGTTCAAACACCTCCTCTAATCCTTCTGCTGACACAACTTGGTACCTCCCCCCATCCAGTTAAAAGAGGTGAAAGTGTCTCTATCATCAAGTTCTGACAGGATTATTTGAAATAGAGATCCAGCCTCATTCCAAACCTCTTGCATTGTGTAAGTTGATTTGCTTTATCTCCAGGCAGTCTGGACTTGCACATCATGTGGTAAGGTCTGGAGATTCCCCCCACACCACCACCATTTCACAGAGCTTTATAAATTAATCTGTGTCACCTGCACGGTGCAGAGGCAAAGGCTGCACTTGCAGAGCTGGTCTGGCATGTTGGGACTTGAGCTGCTCAGAGCTGGGGAGAGAAGCCCACAGGGCAATATTTGGACCCCTGGGAAAGAACCAGGTGGGTCAATTCATCCAAAATCCAGGTTGGAACAACCCTCTGGTGTCGGGTCACAACAGACCCCCGAGCACGAGGCACAAGGGGTGCAACAGGAAGAATCAGCCTGGAGACACATGAAATAAGGTGTTTAATAAGTTAATGCTGTGCTTTCCTAAATATCCACCTGTCTGTCCCCAGGGAGCACGAGCAGGGAGGCGCCTGCAGTCGACAGCTATGAGATAGTTTATCCACGGAAATCACACTCCCTGCACAGGAGGAGCGCGGGAAGGAGCACGCAGGTACCAGAGGAGAGATGGTTTCGTGGGGCTGGGACATGGGGAGGGGTTCCTGGAGTCAGGAGATCTTTGGTTTTCAAGAGTGAGGGGACTTTGGAGCCAGATAGTTTATCTTGCAAAAGGGAAGTGAGGGAGAAGACCTGGAGAAGTGGTGCCATGGCGAGTGGAGAGGAGCTGTGAGGTGGGGCACGTGCAGTGACCACCAGTGGGTCTGTTAGGACCTGAATCTCTGCACAGATGTTGGCTCTGCCACCATTCAGATCTTCAACCACCTCCAGACAATTCATTTTGAAGCAAATCAAATCAAAGGCTTAAAAGCACTGATGGTTTTAGGCGCTTCCAGAGGCTGTTGTGGAAGTGTTTAAAGCTGAGCATCCACTCCAGCACTTCCCCAAGCGCTCTTCTGATGGTAGGAATGCACCTGCAAAGTGAAATGCCTTCCTCTAATTAAAAAAATATGAGACACAGTGACCTCCTGCTTATTCTGGTACTGCCAGAGCACTTGTTTTTGGTGGGAAGAGGAGGAAAAGAGCACAGGCTGGCAGGTCAGAAGTTGACAGGCAGTTAACAGGCAGTTCAGGCCAGAAGTTGTAGCAGTCCATATTCTAACACTTCAATCTGTTTACAGACCAAATATGTTGACACAGTGGAGTATGGAATCAAAGCCAGTGGCCAGGAAGTCGTCCTGCAGCTACGAAAAAATAAGTAGGTTCAGTTCAACTCTTTCCTCGGGTGTTTTTCCTGCCTCTGAATGACTGTGGGGTGTCCAGGATACAAAAAAACAGGATTTAGGCCCCTGTAAAACAGGGGTATTTTGGTAAAAACAACTTTTCAATGGTAGTGAAAGAAGAAAAGGGGAGAGAAGCATCATGGTACTGTTTAGGGAACATGAAATAAGGACTTGCACAGGAGACATTGCCATGGTGGAGTGACTTGCCTGTACCTCTGCTCTCCCATTTGTTTCCTAAATGGCCAAATCCCGGAATGTTCAATGTTTTTGTGGTATTCCCCAAGTTTTTCTGTGACCATGAATGGTCAGTGGGTTATAAACTTGTAGCATGTAGTGACAGGCCAAGGGGGAATGGTTTTAAACTGAGATGCTTCTATATTTAAATAGCTATATATTAGATAAATAGATAGAGATATTTACCTTAACACTACTGCTGTTGGACTTGGAGTAATCTAATATATCCTGGCATTGATAAAGTGCTTCCTGGAAGTGGAAAATGGGGAGAGTTCTCCTCCTTGGCTGCAGAAACAGGCATGGAAAGAGGCCAGAGGGGCAGGGGGCTTTTGTCACACAACAAAGAACACGAGGAGAAGCCCAAAATTGTACAGAGCAGCACAAAATAAAGCCCAGCTGGGATTTTCTGGCTCCAGCAGAATATTGAACGTGCAATCAGACAAGTCTGCATTAATAGGTGCTTTACAAAAGCCTGTGTCAATACAGTGGTGCCACAATCAATTCATGTTAAATATAGACTGTAATTAACTGCTTGCCCCTGTTTTAATCTAATCTAAATATTTGGAGTGGAGGGGAGGGAAAATATAATGTACTGAATCCCTTTTCTTTGAAGAGAAGTGGGACTGTGGCAGTTTGGGGCAGTTGCCCAAACAGAGGTGATGTGGATTTGCTTTGCTGCTGATTTTAGCTCAGATGCATGAAAGGCCAGAAAAAGGATCAATATGTAATTACACATCTGCATTCAGGTCTGCTGGGAGATTAGAAACAAGAACTAAGGACTTTAATTGCCTTCTTTGGAAGCGTCCCTTTGTTTGAGGAGGGACAAGGAACAGGCAGAATTCCCCACCCCGCAGCTCTGCTTGCCGAGTTTTTTCGATACTAACTAATAATAACCTGAGTAATTGTTTGAATTCCCCACATACTTGGCGTGTTGTGTAATCACCTCCTTTCTACCTGGCCACAATTTCTTTGGGATAATAAACTGCCCTTGGTTGGCTCTTTGCAGGGATCTTTTAGGTCGAGATTACACTGAAACCGTTTATTCTGATGACGGGCGACAAATCACAACAACTCCTCAGATCAAGGTAATAAAGGAAGAGGCTTTTCCCCTTTGCATTTACAGTCTTGAGGTCCATGTGATGATTCCTGGGGCCAGGAAATAATAGGAGATGTGTGACAGATAGGAAAGATTTCAAATCAAGCTTCTAAGCCTGCAATGTAGGATGTGTCTGAAGGGACAGGGAAGGGACACAGATTTATGGTGTTGGATTCAGGGGAGAGGGGGGAGATAATTAATACCCTGGTGGTATTTTTCTGGGTGATTTGGGCCATGCATTTAAGAGTTGGACTCGCTGATCCTGGTGGGTGTCCCTTCCATCTTCTGTGAAGATGAGACTCGTGGCTTGGGCAGAGCTGAGCGTGGTTTGTTCCCGTCGGGAATCAACCCCACAGACACCACCTCTCCCCTCAGCGCTGATGAACAGCCTGTGAGTCAAACCCCTCCCTTCTGGCAGGACAGGGAGTGGAGCCAGGGCCATCCCACTGCTTTCAACCTCCCCGCTGTGCCCTCCTGACCTCGCTGCTGGTTCACACCCCGGCAGGTGAGATCCAAGCTTGGGATAAATCCCCATTTCCTCCGGGCTCACCTTCCCACCCACGCTCAGCAGACGCGCTCAGGTCACTCCAGGTGCTCCCTCCGGGCCGTGACAAATCAGTTCTTCCACGCACACACCAAGGGGAGTCACCACAGGAAGCATTTTTTAATTAACTATAATTAACTCCGCACTGCTCGGGCTGATCTTCCACCCGAGGCTCCTCGTCCCGGCTCACCCCACGTGTTTGGACACTCGTGGTTGGGAACACAAAGCCTTGGTTTTCTTTGTTAGCAGGACCAGGAGGATCTTGAGTGAAACAAATGTGCACAAAGACTTCTGGGTTGGGTTTTTTTCCCAAAAAAACCCCCCCATTTGTCATTATTTTCACTCCCTAAGTAGATGCTGAGAAAAGCAAACATCACCTAAACCTGGATAAAGACAAACTCAATCAGGCCTATCTGGGCTGAACAGGAAATCCCTATTTTTCTCTTAAATCCTCCAGTGATGGAGATAAATCCTCCACTTTCCCCTCCCAGTAGTTTTCCCTTTGTGGATCTCTTTGTCCCTGTAAGAAAGTTGGCACCTTGTGGTGAAAGGAAGACAAATAAATGGTAAAAAGTGAAACCAAAGACCCAGGAGCAAACAAAAGGCACAAGGCAGGAAGGTTTGGGTCCATGTTCTTAAGAAATCCCTTCAGGAAAATGCTGTAGGTAAAATTTTCCACAGTCCCTCCATGACTTTGAAGTCTCTTTGAACTCTCTTTTTACAGCAATGTAAACCTTCGATCCTTAAGCCAATTAAGTCACAAAACTCTTTCCCCCAATCATATATTTAACATAATACAGGCATTTTAATCTCACTGAGGTTAAAGCATTTAATTGCTGGCTTATTAAACAGCGTTTCCTTGAAATTTGGCCACAATAAAATCATTTGGTGTGGACTTTGTTTCAGCAGTTTGTGCTTAATTTGGAGCAGTGTGTGTCCATATTCTTATTTTTATGTGCTTTTTGTGTATTCACCGGATCCCACCATGATTAATTGGGCCCAATTTGGGTCACTCCGTGTTGAAGGATAAAAACAATGGTTATGGAATAATTTTTTAATTCATTTTAAGACCCTCCTAATGGGAGATTTCAGCCAGTGCAGTTTATGGTTGCTTGTCTTTTGGAATCACTGGCTCCAGGCCAGTTGAGTCAGTGGGACAAGGCCCAGTGTGACACTGGATTTTTCTTTTCCAAACAGGATCACTGCTTTTATGAAGGCCAAGTTGAGGGTGATGCTGAGTCCAGAGTGAGCATCAGTACCTGCCAAGGTCTCAGGTAAGGGGAGCTTTGCTTCCCAAAGGCACAATAAGAATATGTATTTTCCATATAAAAAGAATCAGGATGGAAACAAGTCATGTGATCTTTTATTCAGGCTGACAAGGAAACCACTTTAGTGAAGAAGCAGGGAAAGAAAGGGGGGAAGTTCCTCAGTTCCTTACAGTATTTCAGCTTTTCATCTCAGCCAAGGATGAAAACGCCTTTGAATTTCTCACTGAACCAAAATTCCCTTTTCAACCCCCTCTGTTAGCACAAACCCCAACAACTGAAATCAAATTCATTCCCACACCAGCTTCTTTTTGCTGACAGTCTCCTCCTCAGAGTCTTCACCGAGCACCCAAATCTTCCAACCCCCCTCAGTAGCTCGAATTTCTGACTCACATTTACATTGTCTGAAGGCTGCCAGAACATCCCAACGCTGCACCTGCCTGGGACAGACGCTCTCTTGAGCCAAAAATATCACAGTCCAACTCCTTTTTCAGTGGCTACTTTGAGACCCGTGGCCAGAGGTACCTGATTGAGCCCCTGGGAGCCTCGGACAGGGCAGAACACGCCGTGTACAAATACGAGGCCCTGAACCAAGAGCCCATCAAGACCTGTGGCCTCACCAACAACACCTGGGAACAGGATTCCAACGACCCCATCAACGACATCTTCAAATCCAGCAACAGCCCAGAGGTGAGGGTAGGGTTAAACACAGCCAGAACAGGCCAAAAACTCGGGTTTGTGGCCAGAGGAGGATCCCAAATCCCACTGTGCCTGCTGATTGCAGACAGTGAAGCACCACCAGGTCTTAAAAAATCAGAGTCACCCCCTGAGTTAAACCCTCCTGCCTCTACCAGCAGGTGCCCATGTGCACCTTTACACGCCTAAACACTTACTAATATCCAAGCTGACCTTTCATAATCCTAATAATTTGAACATCTAACTCGCTTCTCATCTTTTAAACACGTGACAGTCCCGCTCCAAATGACCTGGCCAAAGAAATGCCTTCAATAATTCATAGACAGATTTGAAGTTGCAAAGACTTGAGACTAAACCAGGCCATTTAAATCTCTTATTTCTTTAGATGAAAGAGTATCTGAAAGCAAAAAAATACCTGGAGCTCTACGTAGTTGCAGACAACACTATGGTGAGTATTGGAATTATTTCCCAGGAGAGGTATTGCTTGTTTCCCTGGGATCCTACTACAACTCCTTTGCTTTAACCACTGACCTGGGGTGGGAAAAGGGTTTTGCAGCACCATCTTCTGTGGGATATTGATTTTCTGAGAAATCCCCTTTTCCCCTCTGCCTTTTCCTGACATTCTGTGTTTACATTTTAGTACAAGAACCATGATAAAGATGTTAAAGCTATCAGACAGAGGATATTTGGAATAGTCAACTACATCAACACGGTAGGAGCAAACCAATGACGCTGAAATGCAGTTTTTTCCTCTTGCAAACATCACAGATTTCCATTATTTCATGAAGGAATGAAAGAAAACTCAACTTCTTGTAATTTAAGGAGCAAATTTAACACTTGTGTGTGTATTATCCTGTTCTGTGCCTTCAGACACGAGATTTTTATAAAGAAAGATTTAAACCGAACACCCTTATCACTTGCTGACTGAAATCCTTCAAACAGAATAAATTGATCCCTGATTTCTTTAGCAAGCCAGGCTTCTTCTAAAATTGCTGGAATTTTGAAGCATTTTTAAAGCTGATTTAAACGCAGGGGGTGGAATCAGATTTCAGGGTTGATTTGGAAGGGGTCTGTGGGCGGGAAAAGCTCCAAGTGGGCGACGCTGCGAGCGAAGAAAATCAACCCCTGAGCGGGGCAGGGCCTGAATTCTTTGAACTGAGTTTCTTCCCCAGGTTTATAAGGCCTTAAACATCCACGTGGCTTTGGTGGGCCTGGAGGTGTGGACGGATGGGGACAAGTGTGCCCTGAGCAGGAACGCCGGGCTCACCCTGGACGCCTTCGCCAAGTGGCGCCGCTCGGAGCTGCTCAAGAGGAAGAAGAACGACAACGCTCAGCTCATCACGTGGGTGCCTCTCCCAGGGCTCTGGTCATTCCCAAACACGTTTATTCCTTGAAAACTGGCCTGTAACTCACCTGGATTTCATTGGTTCCGACATCGCTTTGTACCAGTTCTAGGGCAAAAATTAAAAATTAAAGTGGTTTTCTGATTTTTTTTTTTTTGGTGCTCTTATTTTTTTCCTGGAGAGGGAAAAGAGTGTATTTTTAAAATTTTTCCCTCATTTTTTATTTTATAGTATTTCTATTTTATTTAGATTTTTATAGTTTTATTTATAGTCTTATATTTTATAGTAATATTATAATTCTATATTTATGCTATATATATAATATTTATATATATTATAGTTATAAATTTATAAAGTATACTACACATTTATATATTTTTATATTTATATTTAACATGAATATTTATATTTATTATTAATATTTGTATTTATTATATTCATTATATATTATATAAATTATATATGCTATATAGCTATATTATCGTATATTATAATATACAATTATTATATTGTATTATAATATTGTATATTATAATATACTGTAATTATATTTGAGATCTATATTACTTATTTAATATATAATATATTATATCTAGTATATCCTTATATACTGTAGTAGGTCTGCAAACCAGAGCTGGCAGTGCTTAAACCTTGAGCCTGGTCAGGAAAGACTTGACTTCAATCTGCATCCTGCTGACATCACTGACCCCACTCTGCTTCCTTCTCCTTTCCAGGGGCCTTGACTTTGAGGGGACAACGATTGGATTGGCCTTTCTCAAGTCCATCTGCAGTAATTTATATTCTGCAGGTATTATTCAGGTCTGATTGATTTTTATTTTATTTTTTTAAAGCCTTTTATGTGTCCTTTTGTGGTTTTTTTTTGGTTTTTGGTTTTGTTTTGTTTTTTGCTGAACCAGCAAAGGCCACTGATGAAAACTGTTGGGTTTATGGCACTTTTTGATTTATATAGCTTTTATATTTATATTATATTTAGTCTAGATATATCTATATAGATCTATCCATATATATTCCATCTATATTCTATTTATATCTCTATTCTATACATTCTATTTATATCTCTATAGATCTATCTATATACATTCTATTTATGTCTCTATTCTATTTATATCTCTATTTTATTTATATTTACTGTAGCTATATCTCTATAGATATATCTCTACCTATTCTATTTATGTCAATATTGTATTTATAGACAGACAGACATTCCCTAACCCAGAACAAGCAGCCCACAGGGATGCCCAATTTCCTTGGAGCAAACCTGTGCTGTTTTACCCTCTCCCCTGTTCCCAAACACTGACAGCAGCTCGTCCCTGTCCCCCCAGGACCACAGCAGGAACGAGATCGCAGTGGCAGCCACGATGGCCCACGAGATGGGGCACAACCTGGGCATGAGCCACGACACCGAGGCCTGCTCGTGCAGCGACAACGTCTGCATCATGACAGACACCGTCAGGTGAAGGCCTGGGGGGGAAAGGGGCACTCTCAGAAGGCTTTGGATAAGCTGCCAGTCTCCAGAATTTTGGTCTCCGAGATCCACCAAATTTCATTTCCAAGTTTTTTCCCTTTATTTTTACATTTTATTTTCACGTTTTAAATTTCGTTTACCGTGTTTTCCCCTATTTATTTTATTAATGTATTTTATCCTTTCATTATTATTTTTTTATTATGTTTCCATCTGCTCTCTGTTAATAGAGATAATTGGAAATTATATTAATAGAGATAGTTGGAAAAATGGTTGCAGCTGAGTTTTGGGGACGGTCACTTGGCTGATTTCTGTCACAAGTTGAGTTTCTCTCACTGTATTTCTCTCACAAAGGGGATTTCTCCTCCTTGCCTACCCCGATCCTAACCTAAACCCTCCGGATCTCTGCCCGCAGTTCCTTCATTCCCAAGGAATTCAGCTCCTGCAGCCTGCAGAGCTTTGAGAAGTTCATGCTGGGTGAGATGCCGGAGTGCCTGACCAACGTGCCCGACGTGGGCAGCATCATCGCCCCTCCAGCCTGCGGGAACGGCTTCCTGGAGAAAGGGGAGGAGTGCGACTGTGGCACCCCCGAGGTACCTGCTGATGAAACACCCCTTGGGACAGGCAAAGGGGCTCAGCCAGGCTGGGCTCTGCCCCTCTCTGGGGCAGGGAGATCAAATCTAGCTGTAGGATTAACCGTGCAGTGTCCCAGTGGTGGGAAGGACGAGGCCCCGCTTTGTGGGGCTCTGGGGGACAGAGGAACTGAGAGTCACTCACAAAGCCACCCCCACGTCACCGGCCCAGCCAGCTCCCTGCCCCACCTCCACCACCAGCAGCCCCACTCTGTGCCCTTCCCACGCTCCCTCCCAGGGGCTGTGGGGTGGCTCACTGGGAAATGATTTCCAAGAGGCAAAGTGCAGGTCCGAGACCCCCCTGGTGAAGGGGCTGGTGGCAGGTCCTAAGGTTTGCTTGTTGTTCTGCCCCAGGAGTGCACCAACGACTGCTGTGACCCCGAGACCTGCAAGCTGACCTCGGGGTCTGTCTGTGCCCACGGGGAGTGCTGTGAGAACTGCCAGGTGAGAGCCCTCCCCATCCAGCCTTTCCTGGAGGAAGCAGGGACAGCTTTCAACAGGATCAGTCCCCTTCAGTTGTACTTACTGACATAGCACTGTCATGTGGGATCACGGAATATCCTGAGCTGGAAGGGGCTCACAAGGATCAGAGTCCAACTCCTGACCCTGCACAGACACCCCAACGATCCCACCCTGTCCCTCAGAGCATTGACCAAACAATCCTGGAGCTCTGGCAGGTTTGGGGGGGCTGTGACCAAACCCTGGGGAGCCTGTTCAGAGCCCAACCACCCTCTGAGGGAAGAACCTTTCCCTGATATCCTGCCCTGACACAACTCCAGCCATTCCCTGGGGTCCTGTCCCTGTTCCAATTCCCACCCCACCTTGCTCCTCACACAATCTGCACGGCCACGACGAGATCTTCCCGCCCTCATTTCACCTCTGGTAAATTGTGATTTTAACTCTGAGGCCTTGCTGTCCCCTCCCTCAGTACAAGAAGTCAGGAGCAGTGTGCAGGGCGGTGAAGCACGACTGTGACCTGGCCGAGATGTGCTCCGGGACCTCCGCCAGCTGCCCCTCCGATCGATTCCGGGTCAACGGGCACCCCTGCAACTTTGGAGAGGGCTACTGCTACATGGGCAAGTGCCCCACCAGGGACAGCCAGTGCAAGGCTGCCTTTGGACCACGTGAGTGACATCAGCACCGGGATCGGGGTGTCCTGGGACAAGGAGAGAGAGAGAGAAAGGGAGAAGGAAAGAGGGAAAAAGAGAGGGGGAGGTTGCATCTACAAACCCTCAAAGGCCTCTTGTAAATCAGGAACGGCATATCCTAGGTAAAAATAAGCCCTAATTTCTACCCTGCAATAATTGTATCTCACATGGTTGTTATTTTTATGTTTGGTACAGTTATTATTTCCACATTTCCCACAATTCTTGTGCCCGCGTCCCGCGCCGCGAGCGATGGGAACTCGGAGCACGCAGTGCAGTTGTGTTTCCAGAGAAATGGGAAGTGGGGAGAGGATTCCTCTTTTGCACAATGGCTTGGAGAGAGCTGGGATGGAGCTGGGGAAGTATTTTTGGCCGCATAGGAAGAGGAAATGCCTGTCTGTCAAATTAACATCCAAATTTGGTGTGTCTTTCTGCTGCTGACAGCAGCGTTTTGTAGAACCACAGAATGGTTTGGGTTGGAAAGGACCTTAAAGATCATCTCATTCCACCCCCTGCCATGGGCAGGGACACTTTCCACTAGCCCAGGCTGTTCCAAACTGGCCTTGGACACTTCCAGAGGTGTGGCAGCCACAGCTCCTCTGGGAATTCCATCCCAGTTCCTCACCACCCTCACAGGGAAGAGTTTCTTCCCAATATCTAATTTAAACATCTCTCTCTTTCAGTTAAACCATTCCCCTGTGTCCTATCCCTCCACCCCTTGCTCCAAGTCCCTCTCCAACTCTTCTGGAGCTCCTTTAGCCACTGGGAGAGTCTCTCAGGTCTCCCTGGAACTTTCTCTTCTCCAGGCTGATGTGCCCAAGACTCACCCAGTAAATTAAGCGGGCAGGGCCATTTCCTGAGCAGGTGAAGGCAGTGGAACACTCTCAGCAATCCCAGGCAGAGCTCCCAAACTCACTCCAGGGCCTTTTCCTCTCTCCCAGAGGCAACAGATGGGGCACCCTCCTGCTACCACGTGAACCAGAGGGGGGTCTACTACGGCTACTGCAGGAAGGAGAAAGGGAGCCACGTCCCCTGCAAGAAAAAGTAAGCTCTGTGTTCCAGAGTTTGGGATTTGGGAAATAAAAAACAAAAAAAAACCCAATTCCTGCTCCAATGAAGAGACACAATCCAGGCCCACCCTAGTTTAGATGTGCCTTCCTGCTCAGTCTGGTGGGAAAGCCAGTTCTAGGAGAATCAGTTTTAGATCACGAGGGGAAGGAGCAGATGTGGGCAGAGGTGTGTGCTGGACAGGATGAGAGTGTGTGTGTGCAGGAAAACTGCAGGGAAGGGATTTTGGGATGGGGAATTTGCACCTCAGAAGTTAAGGAACAGCAGTTAAACACTCATTCCTGCACATCACTCCCCAGCAAGCTCGAGGGGAATTAAGGACCTGTCACCTGCTCAAACCACCCAACACCACAAGCCCAAGTTCCCTCCTGCAGCTGTTTCCTTGGAATTCAAGCTGGATGTCCTTGCTTTAACAGCTCTTGTTCTCCTTCCAGAGACAAAATGTGTGGGAAGCTGTTCTGCTCCGGAGGGAGGGAGATGCCTCGGGAGGGGAGCCTGGTGACCTTTGATTCCTGCAAAGCAAGTTTTTCTAAAACTGGAGACGAGGACCCCGGGATGATTCTTGATGGGACCAAGTGTGGGAATGGGATGGTTAGTAGGGAATAGCTTTTCTTCGTGTTTTTTTCCTCCTCTTTCAGTCTTTTTAAACCGGGAAGGCTGAGCTGACACCAGACTTGTGCTGATTTTCCCTACATTTACCCCAAACCAGGAGCAAAGCAAACAGGAATTTCCATAATTCCAAATTCTTTAGGCTGGGCTGCTGCCTCTTTTATTCTTTTTCCTGACACAAACACACGTGGCAACAGAAACCCCCCTCTGTAGGAAGGGTTAGAAGATCCCAAATGTATTACTACATCTAATGATTCCCACCCTGGGTGTGCCAGGAATCTCTAAGTGCTATTCCCAATTTCTTTCCTCTGTCTTTCTTCTTGGAAGGGGAGGGATGAAGGAGTGATTTTCAGAGCTGTCCCCACATCTCCTCGTGCTCTTTACCCCTTCACATGAGAATGTGCAGGCTCTGCACGTTCTGGAAGCTCTGAATCCCTCTGGGAACCTTTCCTTTCAGGTGTGCAGCAATGGAGAGTGTGTCTATGCTGAGGAGGTCTTCAGATCAACCAACTGCTCTGCCAAGTGTTCTGGACACGCTGTAAGAGCTGAGATTTGTTGCTGTTCCCTTTAAAACCCACCCAAAAAATGATGCACATCGGCTGCACACCTCATTGCTGATGGCACTCAAGTCACTGGGATAGGAATTGGTAAAAATTGGGGACTTCCCAGAGCCACCCAGTGACAATGCCAGCTTCACTCCCCTTTCCAAGCTGAGGGTCTCTGTGCTCCCCCAGGTGTGTGACCACGAGCTGCAGTGCCAGTGTGAGGAAGGATGGGCACCACCCACCTGCGACAGCTCCTCAGCCTTTACCAGTAAGTGCCGCATGGCCACACCTCGGGATCTGCCCTCTCCTGGCTGGAATGAGCCCCTGAACCCCAGGGGAACAGCCCAGCACCGCGGGCCAGGCTGGTTTGTGGAGTTATGAAGCTTGGAAAAGCCCTCTAAGATGGTTGAGTCCAACCATCAACCAGCAGCACCACCGTGTTCACCACCGAGATCCCCCAGGTCTTGCTGTGAGGGAGGTGGACAAATTCCTTTATCATCTTCATGGAGCTGGTCTTTAACTGATCCAGCTCTGAGGGAGAAGACTTTGTGGGTAGATTTCCATCTGTCTGGGGAAAAAAACCACCAAAACACAACCAGCCTTTATTTTATTTATACTATAAATGTGTTTGTCCTCTCACCATCAGCTCTGAACATCGGGGTTTGGTTGAAGGACAGCTGTGAAGGGAACCTCACTGGGGGATCTCTCTCCAAGCTCAGGGATTCTGGGATGTTTAAGGAGTGCCTGTTGTCTCTCCCTGGCAGGCATTGCCATCGTGGTGGGGGTGCTGGCTGTGCTGGCTGTCACAGCGACTGCAGCCGTGCTGCTCATCCGCCTCCGAGTGGCCAAGGAGAGGTAAAACCTTCCCCACTGACCGAAAAAACCACAAAGCAAAGCCAAGGAATCCCTGGAGGGGCTTAACTTTGAGTTTTCAAAGGGGGGGTGGGAGGGATTAGAAACTGAAAAGCCAAGGAACTACTCGAGCTTTGCTGAGCTGTTCCAGGATTCTCTTAATTTGGGAGAGGATGGAGATTTGAAATGCAGGATTAATCAATATTAATCCTTAATAAATGAGATAAAAAAGCAGGGCTGTGGCTATAACACACCACTGGCAGCAAGGCAGGCATTCAACTGCAAGTCCATTTACTTCAGTCAGGGTAAGATTTACCACGATGTGAAATATTTTACAGCCACCAGAACAGGAGGGGCCCTGGAGCCACCAACCAAGTCTTTGTGGATCAAGAGCAGAGGTGCAGAGAACACCCAGGCCTGGCAGTGCCTGCCCAGAAGGTGAGGGCAGGGTGGGTGCTGGGACCAGCTGGGTCTCACTGGGACTGTCCCAGCCACCCAAACCCATCAGGCAAAGTGGGTTCCTCTTCCTCGAGGGTCCAAAATGCTTCTCCAGGGCTGAGAGGATGGTGCTGGGAATGCCAGCATGGATTGGGAGTGGAGAAAACACGTGGCACTGAGGCCCTGAGTGACCTGGGTGCAGCAGAAGGGACACAGGGAGATAAACACACGAGATAAGGGCTCCATCCCATGGAACTGTTCTCTGTTTGCAGGTGAATGGGAAGAAACTCCTGCTCCCTGTGCCTCCACCTCAGGAGAGCAAACCCCAGCTCCAGAGTGTAAGTACTGCCAGGGAATGTCTCTGCTTTCCTGGGGGGGGGCTTTGGGGGAAACATCCCAAACCAGTGACCATCTTCCCCCAAAGGCTGGGGAACCCCTGAGCTCCACCAGCCACATTCCCATGGGGACACGGGCATGCACAGTGGGGGTAGACGGTCAATATATTTTATATCCTGGATTTTTTCCAGCCTGCCTTAAGGCCTAAAGGTCCCCCACCTCCTGTTCCTTCCACCAAACCAGGCTCATCTCACACAGAGGAGAAGTTTGTAAGTACAGCCCTGCACTTCTCACACCTTTCCTCCGAGTGGCAAAGGATCACCAGATACCAAATACCATTTCCAGTTCCTGGCCACGATTTAATGCAAAAATTAAAACTCACAGCCATTCAAACCACATGTTCTTTAAGTAAAGAGTGGCCTTTTTGACCACATAATCCTAAACTGCACCAGATGCTCTTCATCTGTGCCAAGGAGTCCTCTCGAGCACATGGGGTTCAAAGCCACAGGGATTTGGGGTGTCAAGCCACGCAAATGAAGAACAAATTTGCTCCTCCAGGTGTCTGGGATGGTCCCTGCATTGCAGAGACGTGCTGGGCTCTGCCCTCAGTGTGTATTTTGAATTGTTAAAAAAAACCCTGGAAGCCAGAAGAATGTGAATATTTGTCATTAATAAACCCAGGGAGATGAATCCACTTGCCCTGAAGCATTTCCACTAGGAAATGTTGCAGTAAATACAGGGGAACACCTGAGGTCTGTGGAGGTTCTGCAGCTGCTCAGACAGGAAAACTCAGACATTTAAATTACATTTTCTTCCAGGCACCAGAGAGAAAACCTCCTCATCTGCCAGTCCCCAAAGGCAAACCTGCACCTCCACCACAGGTAACCCGAGTTCCAGTGGGAACTGCAATCCTTTTGGGATGCCATTCCTTGAAACAGCCCCAAGCCCCCCCCACTCTGATGTGTGATTTAACTCCTTCTTTTCCACCCAGGCTTTGAAACCCCCAATGAATCCCCGAGTCTGAAGTTTCTGATGCAGGGCTGATGGAGACACCTGACATTTCCAGGATCATCTTCCTCTTCTCCTTCAAACAACGGACTGGCAGCTGCTTGGGAAGGAAAGGGTTGGACTTGGAGCAGTGAGGAGTGTGGTGGTGATGGCACAGAGGAGAGGAAGCACAATCCTTATTTGCACTGAGGTGGAGGCTGGGAGCAGGTTACAAAAGCTGCTTTAGCACTTCCCAACTCCTGGGCCGGCACCCACGCTGCTCCTCTGGGCACAGACCTGAGGGCTCAGGGAATGTGAACTGTTGGCTTTGTTTTGTTCCATTTGTGGATCTCTCCCTCTCCCTCCTCCACCACACACCAGGCCTTCCTTTCAACCACATGCCAGTGATTGATGCCAGTGCTGGAGAAAGACAAACCCTTCCTGCCCTTTGGAGAGGAGTTGGTGACAAACCCTTCCTGCCCTTTGGAGAGGAGTTGGTGTCCTCGGGGTCTGAACTAGGCGTGGCACGAGTGAGATGACCCTCTGGAAACGGCTCTGGAATGATCCTGTGGGATGGGATTCTCTCAGGAACCCTGAGATTCCCTGTTTAAACAAGATCAGGGAGAACTGGGGAGACTCCAGAGCTCCAAGTGCTGCTCCAAGGAGCTCCAGCTGCTCCACTGCCCCTGGGCAGGGAAACACGAGCAAAGCACCACCAAACAAAGCCCTTCACCAGTTCTTTCACTGGCCCCTCAGCTCCACAAAATCCAAGCAACTTCTCCCTTCCAGGCCATCCCCACCCTCCCTTGGTGCTGCTGTTTCACTGAGCTCACACCAGGGGTGTTGTTGTGGAGTCACCTCTGAGATCCTTTTTCAAGAGCAAAAATTCTACCAGGAGCAGAAAAACAAAAACAGAGAAAAAAAAATAAGGAAAAATAAAAGAGGGAGAAAGGAACTTGCCTTGGATTCAAAGTCAAGATTTTTTATGGAGTTTCTAGTGAGAACTGGATTTAGGTTTGGAGCAGCATGGATCAAAATCAGAGCATGGATCCAGCTGGTTACACTGGGACTCAGGAAGGCTGTTTCCAGCCCTTGGGAGAAGCCACATGGCTGCCAAATTCCCAAATTCCTGCTATTTCCAGTGACCCTCACTGAGCCCTCACACTTCAGACCCACCATCTCAGATACAAAAATCCATTTAAAACTCCAATTTCTCCTCTTGGGCTGGGCTTTGTCTGAGTTTTCCAAGCCCTGCAAAACACAGGTGTGATGGAATTCCAGTCTGCTTTGAGGAGGGAGGTGGTATTTTGGATTAGGATGAATGTTACTGGAAGAGCAGAGCTTTCTTCTGCTTTGGATAATTGCTGCTTTATTTGAGTCAGGAACAGATTTGAACCTATATCTGTGTTTGACTGTGGTGTAAAGACTCAGAACTTATTTTTTATGAACTGTAATTAATGTATTGACAAAGATTTCTGTATTAAAGTGTTCTCTCTAAACTGGAGGGGGTTGCTGTCTCTTTAAAAAAAGAGTATTCACAGGTGCAGTCAAAACTGCCAAGTTAGCCAGTGAAGAATTTAAGTTACAATGAGCTTGTATTTAAAATTATAAAGAGGATTTAAATGATAAGATATTCCATCCCAACTTTTCTGCCACCTTAAAACCCATTTCTTCCCTTGGCTCCAACAGCCCAGGACAGGTGCCAGCCCCTCCTGCCTGGGAGAATGTGTTTGTGCAGCCTCCTGTTCTGTTATACAAACGTGACATCTGCTGTTAAAAACCCTCCACTGCAAGAGGGAAAGGGGATAAAAATACACAATTAACCTGCTGTTAATAATAATAACAACAGTTAATAACAGTTAATAACAGTTAACCTGCTGTGCAGGAGCCACGGGACCCTTCCCTTGCTCCCAGCCCTAAAGAAAAGTAGTTTATGGCTGGTTTGGGGCTGGTTTTTTATTTATTTTGCTGTGATGCTGCTCCTCCATCTGCCCCAAAATATCTCTTTTTTTTTTTTTCCCTGTTGCTTTTCAATCCCTGAATTTATAGAATTAAAGATTTGCAGAGTGGTTTGGGTGGGAAGGGACCTGAAAGCTCACCCAGTGCCAGGGGGGGAACACCTTCCACTACCCCAGGCTGCTCCAACCTGGCCTTGGGCACTTCCAGGGATGGACAATCCACAACATTCCTGTTCCAACTTCCCACCTTCTTTCCCCTCCCTCCATCCCTACCCTGCAACACCTTTAGCCCCCTTTGCTCCCCCCAAACCCAACCCTCTCAGGGAACATCTTCTGGGGGGACTTCTTTCCCCCCTGGGCTATCCCAACAGCCCGAAATTCCCGCCGATTCCTTGGAATTTCCCCTCTTTCCCCGCAAATTCCACGCTGGCCGTTAGAGGGCAACGGGGCACGGACACGCAGGGGCTCCCACTCGCCGTGGCATCCCCGGCATCGCCCGCAGGGATCGATCCCCCAATTCCAGCACCCCCTTCCCGACCTCGGGCTGCGGGTCCCGGGGGCACCGCCAAGGGCATCGCCAGGGGTGGGGGAATTGGAGCCCTGGGAAGATTTTCAGACACGGAGGCACCAGCCAGCTCGTAAACAGCCTGAACCCGACCCTCCCGACGTGGCAGCACAGACAGGACGTGCTTGGGGCTCTTCGAGGCAAAAGAAGGTTTTTTTGGTTTGTTTTTTTCTTTTTTTTTTTTTTTTCTTTTAATCGATCCGGGTTTTACTGCCCAGGAAATCGAGTGTTGTCCCACCGGCCCTTCATCAACGTGAATCACAATCATCAGTACGCACTTGAAATTAAGCTTTTTTTTTATTATTATTACTTCCCTTCCGTCTTGTAGCAGGGCGTAAATCACCGCCTTCTGGGCAAGGAAGTGAATAAAAGGCTTCAGGCTGGACCCACTGATGTGCAGATCAGTGGGAACTCCTGGGAATATTGAAGATTTCCCTGCTGACAGTGCCTGAGAAGTCAGACCTCGCTGGTTGTCTGCCACCAAACTGGGCTTGGTGGTCTGCAGGGCTACAGAAGCAAATGGTTCTTACTGGGGCAGCCTTTGCCACTGGCTGATAATTGAGGAATCATGAGATGTGGAATATCCTGAGTTGGAAGGGGCCCACAGGGATCATCCAGTCCAGCTCCTGGCCTTGAGGAGGGGAATAATCCCACCCTGTGCTGAAATGTGAACCTCAGCCATCAGCCAGCACCAGGGGCTGAGAAACGCCATCAGTCATCAGATTATTGATTGATTAATTAATATGGCGTTGCTAAAATGCTTCTAATCCTCCTCTGGTGCCGAGGAAACAGGAGGCTCTGGGAAGGGAGGGGGGTGGTGCCAGCATTTCTCCTCTCATCACTTTAAACCCCCCACCAGAAAAGTGGCAGAGAGATTAACAGGCTGTTCCTGACATTAGAGCCATAAATAATTCCACAAAAGACACGGCCCTGGCCTTTAAGAAGGTCTCAGGGAAAAACAGGGGAGGCTGAAATATTGATGGATGTGTCTGTAAGGGCTGTTAGGAGAAAAGGGAAGTGCTTTCCGTGGGATTGGTGTGAGCCCCCAGCACCAGGATGAGGAGGGGGGAACCTTGGCCTCGTCCTGACAAAATAGATAGGAGGGCACAGCTCCAAGGAACAGCATGAACAACAAAAACACCACCACTCCAGCAGGACTTCAGGAAATGGGGGCCAAAATCCTCCTTAAACAGGCAAAAACTGTGGTGAAAGCACGGAGAGCTTTTCCAGCAGGAGTCAGAACAGGTGAGGACGGAGCTCAGGTGTGTTCACCCCGGGCTGCAGAGACAGAAAACATCTTCCTTCCACCTGTCAGTGCATGGAGAGAGAAATGAGCCTCTCTCTCTCCCTGCCATCCCCTGAATCTATTTTTGCCTGTCCTGGAGTGCACTGCAGAAATGTGTTTTCCATGTTCCATTTCCCAGCCACGTCCCCAGGTCCCACTGGTGGGCACATCAGAGATGGTTCTACATCAGCCACGCTCCCAAAATCAGGCCACCCTAAAAATCCCTCCCACCCAGCCCCAGAACGTGACAAGGCCCCACCAAAGGCTTCATGGAAAAAAAAAACCCATGAGATGCCTCGAGTAGAGAGGGAACAACAACCTTTGATCAAAGGTTGGGCTTGATGACCTTGGAGCTTCTTTTCCAGCCTTAATAATTCAGTGATCCTATGAAAGGGTCCTGGTTTTGTGGGTTTTTTAAGCTTTAATGGCAGGAATGACTTGCACATATATATAAAAAACTCTGCTGCTGCCACCTCTCAACACCCAGGGAGTGATGCTTTGCTGGGGTTGATCTTTGTTGGACAATCCCTAAACTGCAAAGGGAAAATAACAGGTCCAAGTCCTTAAAAAAAAAAAAAAAAGGGAGGGGGGAGAGAAATTATTGTAACATTTGGGTTGGAAAAGCCTTCTAAGACCATCAGGTCCAACCATTCCACCACTGTCCCATGTCCCCAAGTGCCACATCTTTTAAACCCCTCCAGGGATTGGGGATTCCATCACTTCCCTGGGCAGGACAACCCTTACCACGATGAATTTCCCCCTAATATCCATCTTAAACCTCCCCTGGCACAACTTGAGGCCGTTTGCTCTTCTCTTACTGGGGAGAAGAGAAGCCCCAGTGGGAACCCTGAGCCTGGTTCATCCCCCCACCCCAAGTCCCCAGAGCTCTGGATCTGCTGTGAATTTTTCCTGCTGGGATCAGCTGTGTGTGCTTTGCAGGCACGTCCTGCATGGGAAAAAAAATAATAAAAAAAAAAAAATCAGCCTGAAATATTGATGACCCAAGTGCAGAGAACAAGATCTCCAAATGAGGACAGGCAACCTCAGGCAGCCCTGCTGGAATCCACTGCTCCTCTTCTGGCCAAAGTACAGGTGAGTTCAGGGAGGATGAGCTGGCCCAGAGGTGCTGGGAAGGACAACCACTGGATTGCAGGTGTTGGGCTTGTGGGGACACATCAGGAGCCTGGCTTAGTTAAACCTTCCAGGCTGGCACTGGAGCTTCTCAGCCTTTTTAACACCTTTGTGCCTCATTCCTAAGGCGAACTCCTGCAGGTCTGAGCAGGACAAAGCCCACAGGAAAGGGGGAGGGAAGGAGAAAGGGGTCTAATGGTGCACTTATCAATACATCTCAGCTTCTGTCTAGACACCATAAACCACAGACTTCCCCCTCTGCCTGATAAAACCCGACCCCAGACTCGACAGATTTGATTTAACCCCGGGTGGAAACTCAAAACCTCAGCCAGAGAGGAGCAGAGCTCTGATTCCACCCCCACACCACGGCTTTTTTCGTGTTCCTGATTCCACCCCTCCTCCCCTTATTCATGGCACCGCTTCCCTGCCTTAAAAACCACCCTGCCACGGCTCTGGAGCCGTTTACTTCATCACTGCCCTCGTTAGCAACGCTGCAATCAGGAGAGCGGTGCCTTCTCAT